CAGACCCCCTGATCGTGGGAGTCAGTTAGGAGGCTAGGGCAATCTATGGGGCCTCTGGCAGTAGATCAGTGGATCAGTATTTATCCCTAGTATATGAATGGACTTTGGGAGCCCATTCCACATAGAAGGATACTCTATCAGCCTAGACACATAGAGCAGGGCCTAGGCCCTGCACAAAATGATATGACAGACTTTAAAGATCCCTCATGGAAGGCATCACCCTCCCTGGGGAGCAGAAAGGGAATAGGATAGGGTTGTGGGGGGGTGCAGGTGAGGAGGGGAGGGAGGGGGAACTGGGAATGACATGTAAAACAAGTTTGTTTCTAATTTAAATAAAAAATTCTGAGAAAAAAGAACTAAATGTTTTCTTCTGTTCCTCTCTAACAAAGCTAGCAGTAGTTACTTCAAATAAAATGTAACTTCAAATGAATTTAAAATATTAAAATGCATATGTGCATATAGAGAACTTAGCAGACAACTTTTTTAATTTAGCATGAATTTTTCATAATATATTAACAAAATATACCCATAAAGGTTGCAAACTATTTTTGCAAGGAAAGCGGCTATGAGGTTCTCTTTCCACTCAATGCTCACATTGTCTTGTCTGCATTCATGGAACTTTCCCAAATAAACTGTGGGCTTCTCAATATCAAATGAGTTATGTTCCATTCTGGCAAAATCCTGCACAGAGCTGAAATTACACTCTTTATTTATTTACTTATTTACACAGTGCCAAAAGCTGTTCCAAATGACTCACAAGGATGAATTAATTCTGTCCTCCAACAACCTTATTAGGCAGTCCCTCTTCTTAGCCTCATGTCTAGATGTGACAGCTGAGCTTGGAAATTTCACCTGGTTTTCCAGGGTCAGGCATTTTGTAAGAGGAATTCAGGCAATAAGGATCCAACATCTTTGTTAAAGCTCTTTATTATTGTATCAGAGTAGCTAGGAACATATTGCCACTCAGAGTCCCTCCACCTGGACTCATTGCCCAGTCACAGCTGGGAGCCTACTTGGTGGAGATGCTTCAAAGCTCCTGTGACCTATCTCTTGACTTTGGGAAGTACCTTCAACCACCTGGACTTATGCCTTTCTTGCTTGAAGCATGGAAATGTCCACCCACTCTGGAGTCTTGGTGAAGACAGGGTTGGTGGCCAGTGTCAATCAGCTGCTCAGCCTCTTGCTGCCACTTCTATGGAGCAGGATAGCCATTGATATGGATCCTCTGTACAGCCCTATTGTATAAGTGTACAATTTCTAGAGTTGGCCAGTTATGAGTGGTAAGTAGTTCATCTTTGTCTAGGTCCATGTGTATTTATCAGTGTCCTCTGGCATCTTAGCCATGTGTAAATGAGAAGCATTAGCCAGAAAGGATGGAGGCTGTGGTCAATAGTGGTAGGAGGGTTTCCAGATAAAAAAGTTTCTCATTCATGGCAGAGCTCTCTGATGGGTGGGGATCTCAAGCCTTTAGGAAAAAGAGCAGACTTCTGTCAATATAGCAATAACAGCCACTAAAGAAACAAAACTCTGACTGTATAAATGTCCCACTTTTGGCAGCCAAAGCCCCAAGCACATGAAATGAAAAGAAGCAGTCAGTAGCCTGCAAACGCCACCATAGCAATTGCAACCAATGGTAGCTTTTTGATAAAACTTTCTTCGTATGCCAGATGTGGTTAGAGATCCAGAGATTAAATGCCCAGATGGTCCTCAACAAATTTAACCATTCTCAGGCTTCAACATGCGTTCAACATGGAAGTCAGAATTCTATTAGAAGAGGACACAAAGAATTCAGAGCCTAACTCTCAGTTCCAAAGAGCATAGCAGCCTGAGCTACTTCGACAAGATGCCTTGGAGACATAAAAAGGGTTCCCTGGTTTCTCACTCCTGAGGCTTCTGCTCTATCATGGAGCTCACTGGAGCCAGCCTCCCATTGGTTACAGGAAGAGGGAATTACTCCTGTCATATCCATGAAAATTCTGCACTTATTTTCATAACTGCAGTGGCTGTAATGACTCTAGGTTATATTTCTGCTGCTATCAAGGGTTCAAATTTGTTTCATTTTAACCCCACAGGACAATCTGCTTACCCTGAAAGATTATCAATCTTAAACTAACAACAAAGTATCTCTCCAATTTATACTGTTTGATGTCTACCTGCTCCATTCTTGGAGATAAGGCAGGCAAGAACTCGCTTGGGTGGTCTCAAATGGATCATGCCATTTTAACAATGTATATCTGAAACCAAGGCAGCAGACAGGAGTTCTTGTAATTTTAAGCCATCCATCCTTATCACATAGACTCGAAGTATAGAAGCACAAACATGCTCTGGTAAGGCTTACCCATTAGGGAAATTTACTTAAATGTCCATTTTTCTCTAGTCATGCTTTGTAAGTAAATGATAGTCATAAGTATTGGACTTATGGATAGTCATAAGTATTTCATTTTTTTATTCTTTAAGCTAATTATATTTTCATCTTGAAGTAATATGTTCAATAGTGCTGGAGACCATATTCTGTACTTGAAATTGACATACCAATACCCAAAGAAGATTGGAATGTCAATAATTAGACTGTCAAACAGATCATTGGAAAAAAGTGCTTGCTGTGCAAATCTGCCAACCTGAGTTTTGTCCCTGTTACCCTCGTAAAAGTGGAAGGGTGCTGCCCTGCTTGGGGATACCTGAGGCTGGTGGACTGCTCATGGAATCCCATTTCCATGGGATCTAATACATCCAGAGACTTCCAACTCCTCGGACCAGTCCTGCCTCCATCTACTGGACCAGGTAGGCTAGGGGCTGTTTCCAGTCTGGCTTCCGCTGCCATGCTCAGGGACACTTAAGGCTGGGAGACTGCTCACAGGATTCGAATTTGGCAAGATCTAACACACCCAGAGGCTGTCAAGGCCCCAGCACCAGTCTTGCCTCCATCCATGAGAAGAGGACTGACATCAGAATATTGGATCTGTTTCCATGTACCAGAAGGGAACCCTGGTCTGGTGCCTACCCAGAGAAGAAGACACTTCTGCTATACCCTCCAGAAGAAAGGATGGGAAGAAGTCAATATAAAATCACATTCAACAAAAGAAAAACCAGTATGACACCACCAGAGACTAGGGAACCTACACCAGAAAGACCTGAACATTACAATGCAGATGAAGCAGAAGAGAATGACCTTATAAACATCTTTATGAAAATAATAGGGCCTCAAAGAGGACATGAAAAAATACCTTAAAGAAATGGAAGGAAAAACAACCCCCCCAAAAAGATATCAACAAATCTCTCAAGGAAACAGTTCAAGAACGAAAAACTGAAATAGAAACAATAATGAAAGCACAATCCAAGGGAATTCTGGAAATCGAAAAGCTGAGTAAAGATCAGGAACTACAGATGCAAGCATAACCAACAGAATACAAGAGATGGAAGAGAGAATCTCAGGAATTGAAGATACACTAGGAGAAATAGACTCATCAACCTAAGAAAATCTTAAGTCTAACAAATCTCTAACACAAAATATCCTGGAAATATGGGATAACTAAAAAGACCAAACCTAAGAATAATAGGTATAGAAGAAGGTGAAGAAATCCAACTCAAAGGTGCAGAAAACATATTCAACAAAATCAAAGAAGAGAACTTTCCCAACCTAAAGAAATACATGCCAATGAAAGTACAAGAAGCCTACAGAACACCAAATAGAGTGGATCACAAAAAAGGTCTCCTTGCCACGTAATAATCAAAACCCCAAACATACAGAATAAAGAGAAAATATTAAGAGCAGCAAAGGAAAAAGCTCAAGTATATATAAAGGCAAACCTAATCAGAATTACACCTGGCTTTTCCATGGAAACTTTGAAAGCCAGAAGGTCCTGGACAGGTATTCTACCTAAACTAAGAGACCACGGATGCCAGCCCCCACAACTATACACAGCAAAGCTTTCAAACAATATAGATGGAGAAAACAAGATATTCCATGACAAAACCAGTTTCAAACCATACATATCATCTACCAATGCAGCCCTACAGAAAGTTCTGAAAGGAAAACTGCAACCCAAGGAAGTTAACTACAACCAGAAAAATATTGACAATAGATAATCCCATTTTACCAACAGCCAAAAGAAAAAAGGGGTGGAACCCCATACACAATTTCACCACCACCACCAAATCCAAAACAAACAAGAATGAAAAATCAATGGTCATTAATATCCCTCAATATTAATGGTCTTAACTCACCTATAAAAAGACACAGGTTAGCAGAATGGATAAGAAGACAGAATCCATCCTTCCGTGCATACAAGAAACACACTTCAACTTCAAAGACAGATGGTACCTCAACATTTTATTAGAGAGGGGAAATGAGATTTTGAGCCTCCACCCTTAAATGAGGACCTATGGACAAATGATGATATCTGGAGGAGGGAACATTAGTTTTCTTGCAGACCAAACTCCAGATGCTGGCCCCACACCCAGGACGCTCTTGGCAACACTAATTAGATTCAATTGGTTATTAAAGATTTTCCACTGAGGTTGACATAAACCTGGAAAATATTTTTACATAACCTACAAAAAGTCCTTAGGTTGCTTATGTATTCCTTTTCATCCTCTCCCAGCCACATTTTCATCACTGCAGGCCTTGAAGCAACAAACGCAGATATGTGCTTCCTATGCTGGTCTCCTGGGCAACCTCTGACTTCTTTTAGCTCAGCACTCTGCTTTCACAATTTGCATTTTCACCTTAGCTCTTTTATCGGCTATGTACTGATTTCTGGAGTTGCTGATTTGTTTTTAAAGTTAAACCAACGTCTCTGCCAATGTAAACAAGTGAGAGCAACTGTACAATGGACTTAAAGTTAACTTCTCCATGTTATACATTTGAGAATCAAAATCCCCCAACAACTGAAAGTCGTTACCAATGTTCTCTAGGTCTGCACAAATTGCCTTATAGCACCCTCACTGTATAAAAATATGGAACAAATGTGTAATGCTACCCATATCTTCATTGGACTCAGGTTTGGTGATGGTTATACCATTAAAGTTTGGCTCCACAAGGAAGGGAGGCAGCCTAGTGCCGTTTCTGACTGCTTGAAGCTTCATTTTCCAGGAATCCAGTTTAAGGTATGTTGCATGATTTCTCCAGAGTTCAAGAACCAATGTTGTTCACTCAAGACAAGGCAGTGATGACAAGCTAAAGGAAGGATAACCATTATGTCTAACCTAGTGAAACAGTGAGTTTATTGGGGTTACTTAGAGGGCTGTGAGTTACTCAAGGACAGTGGTATCATTGAATGACCAGCTACAAGATGAGTGACTAGTCACTCAAACTACACCCCTTGTTTTCTCTGAACCACTTGAAGGCGAGAGAGTCCCCTCCATCCTGTTATTATTTTCTGATTTTATAACCTTGGGAGAAGCCTTCATGAATTACGTAACTTTCTGTTTCCTGAGCCTTGTGAGTTTCCTAAGTTTCTTGTCTTACTTCAGGAGGGGGTATTTCTAGTGGGATCAAACAACTACATGGGTAGGTTAATCCTACTAGCCTGTGTTGCTGTTTATAGCCAAAAGCACATTATACATGTATTGGTCATTTTTTTCTGTTTTATTCTACACTGCAAAAAAGACAGAATCTGCTGTCTTTTTGCTTCTTTTTGAATTACTGACAATACTTCAACCAAAATTACCATGGATGCTGGTCATTGCTCAACCACTCTGAGGGAAGGCAGGGCTGCTTGGCCACTTGCTGGATAGCCCAAAGAAGACTATGATTGCACATACTTCCTTCTTGATTTTCTCAGCTCCATTT